CTTTATTTATTTTAGAAATAAGAAAAAAAGCGCAACGGATTGTTATGAGAAAAACGGCCATATTTCCCATTTCACATATATATATATTTCTTTTTTCTTTCTAAAAACTTAAAACGGAGAGTATTGAGGGAAATAAACATAGGTAAAAGAACATCTGAATGAAAAATAAAAACTACAGTCGGTTTTCAGGCGGTCTGAAGGATTCAAAGATTTATTGTTTAATCAAATCAATCATTTGAAGGAAGGTTTTTGGCTGGTAGAGAATATTCTTTTTCAAAAAATTTATCAGTTTTCTCTCTCGAAGAAAACGTTGAAAATCAGAAAAGAAAGCTTTGTAAAACTGTTCGGATGAAATTTTTGGTTTTTTTGAACTGAAATTCCCTGAATAAACTTGATGTTAAATATGACACGAAGATAAGCCTCGCTCTGGGACTCGAAAGCTCTTTTTTTGCTTTCTCGGTCTTGAACTTTTTTTCGTTTCTCACTATCATTTTTTTATACTTTTTCTTCTATCTCATCATAGACAATTGAGGAATAGTCAATTTTTTTCCTGACTTGAAAAAGGCGAGATGGGTAGATTTGCAAAGGTGAAGCGTTTTTGGAAACAGTGTAGAAAAAGAGTTCTTATCATTTTTTTACGTTTTAATCCTTCAACTTAGCTTTTTTTGAAACTACAAAAAGTTTAAACTTTGATCACCTTTCTTTTTACCTAAATCGATATCAGTCTTTCAAAATGGAATAAAAAAATATCAAAAATTCAGGGACGGTTCTTTGGATAATTGCACTTTTAAAGGCCAGAAGGTTAAAAATAAATTGAAGCATTATATGAAAACGGTAGTATCATTCTGTATTAAAAAAATAGTATTGGATTAAGAATTAAGAATAAGAATAGATAAAAAAAACAATGTTAAGAATAATCTTTTTTTTTCCAAAAACTTTGTAGCGCCCTCTGCGCTAGAATTTCGAATATTCTCTTTGTCGAATAAGAGATTAGCGATAAAAAAGGGGCGCCAATCATCAAAGAGTGCAAATCCTGAGGGATTTCATCCCCATTCACGGATTTCAACTGAACTTCTGGTTTTTTTTTTTTGTGTGTTTTTTTCCCTTTTTTGGCACTGCTCATACGTGATCAACAACTATTTTCCTTTTAAAACGTGTACTGGAACTTTATCTCATCAGTTTACTTCCTGAATCTCGCAATTTACCAAAAAAATCTTCCCAGACCGCTTAGAATAGATGGAATCCTCGAGAATATCTCGTATTTCTCACTTTTTTTTTACTGCAATCCCCAAAAGTGGAGAAAAAAACATACGTTTCAGGTTTCAAAGAAAAGAATAGGGTCTTTTTTTTTCAAAAATGACTTCTTTTGAATTGTCTTTTGTAACCAAGAGTGAGCTTCGAATAACCAATTTCCTGTTCATTTTTTTTTCCACAGTGAGAAGTAGGAAGCAACATCTCTCTCTTTAAAAGTAATAACATGCTGTTTCAGAAAGCTTTTCTGAACATTTAATCTGAAAAAAAAAACCGGAAACGCTCTTTTTTGATCAAAGCGCCATGATGAACTTTTTTGATCGGTTCGAGGTTTTTGATGTCGTATAAAGAGCTACGTTGATGAGACTGACTCCTTTGCAAACAAATTTCGGCGGATTTGCCCAGATTGCAACATGATTCCTTTACGAGGAGTACAAATACGATGACGATTGCGACTTATATTTTCTTTCAAGTGTTCGTTAGCCGCTCCGGAAATGACGCCGTTTACTTTTTTTTTCCTCTTTCACTTGGTTTTGGCTCCTTAGGAAAGTCTGCCCATCTTTTCTTATAAACTCGAATATTCATTTTTTTTAAACTAGTTTTTTTGATTCGGTACTTGAAATTCCCAACAATGAGCAATTCACGTTTCTATGGGGAATTTTTCGCTCTTTTGTTGCGTTTTCTGATCGTTTACTCAACGTCTTTTTGTAGTAGTAGTTGGGGAGTTGTAGGAAAATGATAATTAAATTGAGAATTATCGATGACTTTGAAAGCAGGAGTCATTTGGAGTCAACTCCCATTGTCATCATAATGATTAGAATTAACCTCAGAGAGGTCCTCAAACGTAGTAACTGCGGTTTCCGAAATTTTTTCTTGCGCTCCTTTTTTATAACTCTTTTTACAAAATTTAATCTTCGGTTCTTAGAAACACAAGGTTCCTTTCCTAAAATGTACAGAACCGTTTTAAAGAGAAGAAGTGGAAGCATTGAAGACAGAATGTTTACTCACCCTTATTCGCCACTCGGCTGGACGGAAATATGGAGGAACCATATGCGTGGATGGGGATAATTGGATTGCCTTGAAGAATCCGCGCCTATTTACACTGCTTTCATCATTCCCGATGCATCTCACAGTCACAAAAAGGAGTTGCTCTCGTCTTGGCTCGTTAATATTCTTGCTAACGTTGCACTCTTGTGTTGCAGACGTACTAGTGTAATTGCCGAAAAGGTGCACGAATCTCCGTCGAAACGTCGTGATTCCTTGTTCGGTTCCTGGATTAGTTTTCTCGCTCAGTTTCTGGATTTGAATTCAAGTTCAATTTTAATGAGAATTTTGAAGCTAATAGTTTCATTTTATTAATCATTATTTTGATTTTTTCGGCTTTATCGCGTTCTCCTGTTTACGCACTACTTCCCTGCTTCTTATCACCGTGTCGGTGAGCAGAAAAGAGCACAAGGAAGCCAGAATATTTTAAGCGATGACGAAGAAAGTATTGGACTTTTGAGATTGTGTAACCAACGGCTTACAGAAAAAAAGTGGTAATCTTTTTAGTCGCTAATCATTTCAGCATTCTCTCAAAAAATCGCAAATCCATTTCTTATATTTCATTCTGTTTTCCGTGAGGTTCTTTTCACTTCACAGCCTTATGAATGTCATAATTCTAAATTTTCCGCCTCCAAAATACTAGGGACGGAATGAGAAAAGGAAATGAGCGTTTTCTGAAGAAGTTTCGTTTCCTGAAGTCATATACTCAAGTACCAGATATCTTTGTTTTTATTAAAGGAACTTCTCTTAAAAAATCACTGCTTCTCCATTTTTTTGTGACAGAATAGCGGTAAATCGAGTATGTGCTCGACGAAGTTCGTTCTCAAAATCCGATTGTGAGGAAACTCCATTCAAAAACTTCTCGCGGCCTGAAAAAGTGACCAGCTCAGGTTCTCGCATTTTTGAGCAGAGCCAACAAAAAGAAGGCCACTGCTTTATTCCCAGAACGTCTACGCAGCCTGGAGGTGTCGTTTTACGGCGACGCCCACTTTCCTGCCCCATTGTTTTTCTCGTAGCTGGTAATCCTATCACATCCATCCTGTTAGTCGACCACAGGTTCCGTCGACCTTCTGATTCCTGGAGAACCTCGGCAAAGTCCTGATGGACTTCTTTTCTCATTCCCTGACGGACGCTCAATACTTTGAAACTTCCGTGAATCAACTTTTCTTGAAAACAAAGAAATTGTGGACTCAAACTTCTAAAAACCCTAACTAAGATTTCGGATATTTTTTTTCTGCTTGAGAAGTTTCTCTGTTTGAGTTCCTGGGATGAAGATTTTTTTACATGAGAACGTTTGAAATATTAAGAAGTCTTTACGTCATGCAATCCTCAGTTCCAAAATCCTCGGAAAATCGCAAAGTGTTTAGTTCGCTTTTTCTCTTTCAATGTATTATATGAAAGTTTAAAAAAAATGAAAAATTTTCTCAAAGGTATAGAATGGCAAATAAACCCCTCATTCTGAAGATTTTCGAGATTCTAACTTTCAAAACAGATGAATAGGAGAAGCGATGAAGGAGTTGTAAAAAAATGGCATACTTTTCCGGTTTCCGAGCAAAAAATGATTGCAATCGATGCATTTATAGCACTTATGCTTTCCACAAAAAATGTATAACAAAAAAATTCTAACGAACATCATTTTCTTTGTTCATTCTCACTTCTATGGTCTCAGTCTTTTTTTCGTATTTTCACAAAGTTTGGCGGGAAAAGATTGATAAACGACTCAAGGGACCTCGGCTCACTTGCTGAATGAATCATACACTTAGCCGCAATTAAACGATTAAACCTACACTCCCTTCTCAGCACGGCTAATTGTTCTTCATCATATCACCGCGTTGCAGAATGACATCTCTTCCGCTATTTTCAATTAAGTGCAGGTGTTTCTAAAGGTGTAGTTATCATGTATACAAGAGAGAAACCCCCAGTGACCGGGATTCAAAAAGAAGCACCTCGAAGGCGGCCAAACGTCGAAGAACTGCCTGGCTTCCGAGTCTCAGATTGACTTTTGTGTGGGGCTAGTCTCTGGACTACCTTCTCGACAACTCTCGGAGAGAATCCGGGTGTCGTTTTTTGGATGGCGGCTCAATTCATCAGCTCGCGCTCTCCAATGACCTCCGGTTCATTTTTCATCAAGAAACGGCTTCTAAAGCCCAATTTTCTTTGGACTCATTTGCTTCGTTTGATTTAGTCGTTTTCTTGCTTTTCTTTCTTCCCTCCTTTTTGTGTGTTCTTGTCATCTTTTTGAAATTGAACTTCTATCCGCAAAAATAAAGAGTAGATCGTGCAGACAGAAACGACTAAAAGCTTTAACTTTCGTTTTTCGCCATTGGCAAATGATGAGCTTTTCCGGTGTTTCATGAATACAAAAAAAATATGAGTTTATCGTATTTTATGTTTGTAAAGCGAGAAACAATTTAATGAAGTCTTCTTGCAGCGAAATGAAAAAATTCTCAGTTTTCGAATAACTCAAACATCATAATCGAAAAAAACAAATTCTAGCAAAAATTTGTAAAAACTATCAATTAACGGGAAAACTGGAACTTCGATACCTAAATTTATTTTTCTTTTGACTCCTATCATAAAATTTTTAATTTCTGGAGCAGTTCTCTCTTGAACTTTTCCGAAAGTTTGTTCGAGCTCGTCACTCTGAATTTTGAGTAACTTCCTTATGAATGCAGAAGTGAGAGAAGGCCAGCGGAGCGGAAAGGATGTTCACGAGGAACATGAGCGTCAACTCGAGCGTCGTCGACGGCTTCGACGAGCTCATCACTTACCACGTCGTCAACACGACGCTCGGCGGCATGAGCACCCTGGTCAACGCCTTGTTGCTGGGAATATTTCTGTCGCACAGGCCTTTCCGCACTCGATACGTCGTGAGCCGAGCAGTCCAGATTCCGAAGTTCCTTGAAAACGTTTCAGTTGTTGATCCTACTATGCTGTGGCGACCTCGTGAACAGCATGGCTATTGTGCTGACGGGCCTCAACCGCATCAGACTCTACTCAACCGCCCTCGCCACACTCACACTGCCGATCCGGACGTCGCTCGAGTGTGCTTCGGAGACTTGGCTCGTCCTCAAGCTCATTGGTTCGTTTTGGGCATACAGTCAAATTTTCCCGACTTGAAAAGCGAGAGAGGCGGAGAAAGAGGCGGTACGCGTAACGTGCGCGTATGCGGTTCATGGCAAAAGTTCAATTCAACCGACAAAATCTGTTTGGAGAGCTCGTTCATCATTTGTGCAGTTAAAACAGTGGAATAAATACAAAAAGAGCGAGCCTGAGCTTTTCAAATAGTCGGTGGTGCTTGAATTGAACTCGTGCCAAGGACCGCGCACGCGCACGCTTCGCGTCCCGCCCACTTCTACGCCTCCCTCGCCTTTCAAGTCGGCGACGACTGACTAAATTCCATCTGAGTTTCTTATTATTCCATGTACATAACTGCTGTAAAAATTTGGAAAGATTTTTTTGAGGACACTACAGCATCTGGTGTAAATAGAAAAAAATTTGGTGTTTTTTAAAAATTGGATTTCCTAAATGAGCTTCTGGAGTTGTAATTTCTGATGGATAATTTGATTTTGCTGGGAAATTGCTTCTAATGGAAGAGTTAGTTTTGAAATAAATTTGCGTATCTCCTGCGTTAACTGAAGTGTCCAGGTGACATTCTGATTCCGGTGGCGACGTTTTGGATGGGCGTCGAACGATTCATCGCCATTCTTTTTCCGATGTTCTACCGCTACAGTGTAGACGGAAAGGCGATAAAGTTGAGAAGACCGAAAAACCCAAGTCTACGAGGATTTCAGGTACATGGTGATACCCGGCATCAGTTGCGCCTTCGTCCTCGCCTGCATCGCCGTCGCCTTTTCCATCGCTTACTCGGACAATCACTACACGCATTTCTACTGTGGACGGAAGGTACCTCGAGTAGTTTTTGGAGAGTGAAGATTTTATTCTTTTTAGGCAGCCTTCGGCGAAGGCTTCGGCACGTTCATCTATGCTTGCAACATCACCTGCAACGTCGCGAGTACAGTGTTCTCTACGGCTGCTTATGTCAAAGCTGTTCGGATGTCCAAAACTCAGTAAGGAAAAGAGGTGCACCTCAGTGGAGAACTTCTGCTTGAGGCCAAGAATGCAGCGACAAGTCAACGTCATCCGCTACTACCTGCTCATCTCCGTTCTTTCCACTCTGCTCGTGTCGTTGCCCAACGCTACAGCTCTTTTCCAGCTATACGTACACAAAGTATGTCTGTAGAAATATTTATGAGAAGACGTCATCAGCGAAAAAAAAGAATTGAGATCGAACCGCTTGATTATTATATGTAACTTAGGCCAGTATTTTGTGAAAAATGTTATTTGACAATTTGGGAATTTTTAACCACATCTTTTCAGCACAAAAACTGTAAGATTTTTAAATAAAAAAAGATTTGATTAGAAAGTGAGTCGTTTCAGGTTAGCGACTCGCTTTCGAAACCTGCTTACTGGATGCAAACAATCAACAGTGGCATCCACTTCTTCGTGTACCTCGCACTGAACAAGGAGTTCCGTGCGAGGACGATGCGGTTCTTCAAAATAGTCAACTCCGAGGAGCTGTCTATATCCAGTGAGTTTATGGTCTGACGCGGATACTCAGGTGCAATAGTTTGCTTTAAAAATTCTTGGAGAACAATGTTCCCACTTTCCATCCATAGTCTTTTGTAATCTTTTCACCACGACTTGAAACAATCTGCCCCTCCTGCGTCGTATATATTCATTTCATAAAGGTCAAAAGAAGTTTCGCAGAGAGAAAAAACGAAGAGAAAAGGAAATGTTTCGAGTTGGGGTAAATGGAGTATTTGAATGATGAGAGCTTCAACGAACTCTACCTGCATGAAAATGTGAATCGCTATGTTATTTTCTGTGCCTCGACTATCTTTATAGAAAGATAGTTCGAGACTTTATTAAAGGCTTCCTGTATCTATTATCAAAGGCATAGGGGCAGTAAAAAACGGGGTTTCAGGTGAAAGCAGTATCTTATATAGTTTTTCATTGCGAATCGAATGATGTACTCAAAAAAATTACAGATGTGACTAATTTTGAAGAAAAACGCGATTTTACTTTCCCGCCTTTATTTTTGAAAAAAGCTTTGGATCGGTATGCAGACAACTGTTTACAGTAGCCGTGCACGCGATGTTGCGGACGTCTCATTAGACTCGCATTTTGTGTGAAATAACCGGCTATCTGCTTCAAATCAAGGGTTTATTCTCTGAAAAAAACATTTAGTCAAACAGAAAACACACACCGATAATAAAGAGAACACAAACAATCGCTCTCCCAAACGAAACCTGTGTAAAATCATCTTTTTTCACCAGAAAAGCTTTTTTGCGCATAAAGTTTGCAAATTATACATGAATAGAAAGCTTTTGTGACGAAAAGAACTTTGGTGATTACAGAAAAAATTGAAAATTGAAAGAAACGAAGAAAAAAGCGAAAATCCGGAAGGTAGTGGGGCCTGTTGTCCATAGAGCAACTTTACTGCAAAACCGCCTTTTTGGCGGGAACTCAAACTTTCCTCCCTCCGACTTTGAATAATTTTTTCTTCAAAACTAGGACTTCTGTACGTTTCCAAGTTCACAAGTTCACTGTTCGATTCGCAATAAAAAGCTCTATAAATTACTGCTTTGAACTAAAACACCGTTTTTTACTGCCCCTATGCCTTTAAGCGTCGTGGCGTTTCATTCACCGTAGAATGTTGTAGAGCCTCGGACCGACGGCTGCGAGACTCCTTTGCGAGGTTCTGCCAAAATCTCCGCGCGATGAAAATCTCGCAGCTCGCAGACCAACTTCGAAAAAATCTACGACCAGCCCTTTTTTCTCTTATTTCTTATTTTCAGCTCATTGAATCAATCATGAAGAGCATGAGAAGAACTTTCTTAGTTGTGTTTTCCCAGCTGGATAATCTTTTCATATTCCTATTCCCCCACGAGTACTTTTGCATGTTGATCTGGCTCCCTTGAGAAACTGTTCAGAATGTGTTTCTGGACTTCGATATCTGGATTTTTTATGTTCGAACTAACTGTTGTTGTGCAACGGGTTAAAGTACATATTTTTTTCTAAGTTCAACTTTTTTTGTGTAAATAAAACTTTGAAGCTCTTATTTGTTAGTTTTTTTGCAATTTTTTTTTTTTTTTCAATATAGCAGACAAAGATAAAACTTTTAAAAAAAGCGTTTTTTTAAAACTTTAATTGAGAAAAGAACTTTTTTTGAGTTCCAAGTTTTATTTCTCACAGTTGCAGAAAATATCAAAATCTTTCATTTTCATTAAATTTTTGTGTTTGGCATCTATAATCGATAAAAAAATTAAGTTGATTTTTTTGTTGACCAATGTTTGGAGAAGACCTTCAGTCTGAAGCTGATTACAGATCGGCCGATGATCAAGGCGGATTCTTCGGCAAAAGTTTTGTTCGCCCCACGCTTGAGCGGCTCCTACAGCGAACCTGTGCAACTTTGATTTCTATTCTATAAAGATTTATTCTCAAATATATGCAGAATTGACATTGGCTGGTCAGCTTGGATTGCATCTATCTCTGAGCTTGTCGATATTAAACGACGTTATTTAGTTCGATTTGGATTCGTTTTTCATTTAAACTAATTTTTTTCCATTTTGGATTTTACACTGTGCTATTTGCAGTTATCAAAAACGTTTTTAATGAAAGTCGTTTTAGTTTCAATATGAATGACTACACCATTTCTTGAAACGCAGATCAAGGGCAAAATCGAACGGCCAGAAGCCCTTCGGCTGGTTTTACGGTTTCGGCGTCACGAAAGGGTAATTTAAAGTGTTTTCCGACGCTTATTAGTGTGTCTTTGATGTGTCCGTTTGAGTCGGAATGAATTAAACGCGCCTGGGACGTCGAACGAGGTCGGCGGCTTCTGTCTTCGCTTCCTATCTTGAGCTTTCAGTAACCACTGCTTGAATAGTCCAACTTGTGATTTTCATTTGGAATCAGTCGAAACTTTCAAACATACGTTGATCACTCTCAAGAAATGAACTGTTTTTTCCTCGAATTCAGAAAATTTTCCCTTATTTTAGTTTTTTTGTCTTGAGATCGATTTGAAACTAGCTCCTTTCGAGTTGGGCAAATTAAGTTCGGATCACCAACCTGGATTTTTTTCAAATCAAGAATTGATATTTAATTAAACTTATTCAAAAACCGAAATCGTTTGGTTTTCTGCCCAAAAATGTTCTTGCCGATAAATAAATCGATTACACTGTGTGATCGTTACAAATTGATGAGCTGATCTCAAAGTCATCTACACTTTCTCAGAAGAGGAGGATTTGAATTGGCTAGATAGAAAGAGGAAAGCGACGTTTCACGCGGCGGAGATCAGATCATCAGACCCCATGTTTTTCTTAGAGTACCATACAAGAAAACAAAGGCGAAAGCTGTACGAAGTGGGCACGTGGAACAGAAAAAGTACCGTCGTTTATCGCGAGAATCCGTTCCTCGAAGTTTTCTCCAAATTCCCTGCTTCTTCCTTTTTTCCTCTGTCTCGCGCTTTGGACTTGGATGTTTCGAAGAGGAAGCGCTTTTTGGGAAAATATATCTTTTTCTCCTTTTAACTTTTGATAATCTTGTTTTCTTTTTCTCGTCTCAGTGATGTCTAATTTAGAAAAAAAAATAATGAGCCTTCCAGGAAAAAGGAAAAAAAAAACGTAAGATTCATCCAACATTTTATAAACCTTTTTTTTCGGTAGATCGACGTCCGAAAAATTTGAGGAACAATTCAGAAATTGATCAAAATTCTAAAATCTTTCTACCTTTTTCTTAGACCCGAGTTCTTTTCTCAAGTGACGCAATCTGCCAAATGACTCATTCGTTTTCGTTTTCTGTCGTTAGCCAGCCCCGCCTGTGAGTTTCACTACACAGGGCTTCACAGTTCACTTTTGTCAGCTTCCGCTTTTTCTCCTGATATATTTCTCTTCTCAGCTTGCCCTTTTTCAAAATTCTACTTTCTTACTCTTACTTTCCTCTATTCATTGCTAGCAGCAGCTCTCGTTCAGAAAATGTTCAAAAAATGGAAACACCTTCTGCTGCTCGTCATGGGGGTAGCTACTGCTTCTTCTCTTTCCCAAGGTGCTTTTCTCCGAAGGGTTTTGAACTTTTCTTGCGATTATTTAAGAGTCAAGCTCATTGGACGACATAAAAAGAAAAAAATCTGAAAAAGATGTGAGTCTTTTTTTTTAAATTTTTTCATGAGATCTTCTTTTCCAGGCTTTCATGAGGAACTTAATAGACTCGGAGCTTTCAAAACTGATTGAATGTAAGTTTTGGGGTTGTCAATATGTTTTTTTTTGTCGGTCCTCACTAAAATTGTTACTTAAGCAGCCTTTTGCAGCTGCACTTCAGCATGCAAAAATCATTATAAAGCAAAATTTTTGCATCTTTGAAAATAAAAACTCGAAAGGTTTCGATCATTCTGGCTGACGGGTGTCGACAAACGACCAGCTTAATGGTAGTCGCCGTGTTTCGTCGTCCAATTTAGTTCTGGGAATTAATCAAAGCTGTGGCAGGAATGGAGGACAAGACAATTCCTCAAATGAAAGAATTCAAGCATTTCCGCAATTTGGAAAAAGATATTTTTGCGCTCGGAATCAACTATTTAAATGGAAATTTATCAGAACTTCAAAATTCAGTTGAACCTTGGGAACGAGGACTTTTGTGGGGACTGGAACCGTCAACGGTCCAGCCTTCGGTTTCCAGAACGACGATTGACGAGATCGACCTGAACAGTCTGAGCGCTGGAGGAAAGGTTCGCCTTTCTCCTGTATTTTATGATTCTCCCTCTCTTCAGTCATTATCACCACCTGGCATGCAACCGCCCGATGTGGCGGCACTTCGGAGACTGATCAGCTCCGAACTGAAAGTAGTTTTATTCTCGAGAGGCCACTAAACAATGATAATCATTTGAAGCCATTAGCCACAGCTTCAAGAAGGCGTCAGCCCCTGAGTACGAATTCGCGGGCAGCACACTCAAAGACTGTCGCCTTTGCAGCACCGACTTTTCAAACCCAAATTTCGAATCTGGAAGAGCTGTCCGGGGAATCGCTCAAATTCAATTCGAGCGGTTCGTTTCGAGAAAACTGTTCGAAACGTCTTGCTGGGGGGCTTTCGAAGTCACAAAAGCCTCGAATGAAGTAAAACAACACTGAAAACAGGCATTTGCCTCTCTTGCAAAATGAGCATGTGCTTCTTTGCACACTAGGACAAGGATTTTCGGACAGACCCAAATAAGCTAACGCCAATAAACCTGTTTCAGAAGAGCAGGACACGTTCGATAAGAAATCTTATGAAATGTCCGAATTCTCTTTTGGTAAGTAAGATTTTCAAATAGAGCGAGGTAAAAATTCTTGCAGATTCTCCTGAAGTCAGCGAACTGCTGGCTTTGAAACGTGAGTGTTTGACTCGAAATAAATATTTCTGAACTTGCGATCCTTTTTAGCCAAACAACTGGGCTCTTTGATAAGCAGCAGCAAATTCGCCGGTATCCCACTCGAGGACAACGTCAATGATGAAATCAGAATTCACAACATTGGTGAAACTCAAAAAAGCTCGAATGCACAATAACCTCAATTTTTGTCTAGATTTCTCTATACCCGACTTCCCTCCGTTTGCATTCAGTGAAGACAGCACTAGCGCAGAAATTCCGCAGCCAGCTCAGGTATTCATTTTTTAAAAGTTATCTTTTCTCAGTTCTTTCTAGGCCTTCGTCATGCCTTCGGAGTTTGGATTGAAAGAACCAAAAAAAGTTTCAGAGAAGGTAAAAAACGGTTGAAAGAATTTCGAATAAATGAACGAACTCAGGAAAATACGTTCAATATTCCGAACGCCGTTCAAAAAATGAAGATGATAGTGGACATAACGGATCAAAGAATGACGGCTTCGAGCACAGCCTCGACCTCTGCTACGAGCTCAACAATGTCTCTAACCTTGTCTCCAACCACACCGACACCCCAAGAAGTGACAAAGGTCCTCCTGAGTGGAACGACCTCAACAACCATGAAGTTCATTCGCAAAACGGAAACAACGCGCATTCCTGTTTCTGTCACCTCAAAAATGACTGGCGGCTCAAAGCCTTTCACAAAGCTTGCTACTCGGAAAATTAACACGACTTCTACGACTGTCAATGCAAAGACATTCGCCACCCCCGACCCGTCAAAAGATTTTTCGACAGTAGAGCCACCCCTGCCGATGGTTGAGAAGCTGAATATCCGACCTATCGAAGACGCCACCAAGAGCACTAGCGTCAAGTCGAATCTTGTCGACGAGGCAACAAGAACTACACGTCTGACACGTATCCGTATCCCAGTCGACCATTCTGAAATCCGAGGTCAGGAAATTTCTAAAAGCAATAGTTTTTGAAATAGTAGAACAAAAAGGCTGGAATATATAAATACTCAACCGACTTCACATCGGCTTCTTTTTACTCAAGAAACCTCAAGAAAAATCAAGATTATTTGAAAGAGATTCACGCTAGAAGAAAAAAAAAGGTAGTTCAGAGTTGTAGCAAAGTAGCTCTTTTCAAAAAAAAAAATGAAGCAACCCTCTCCACACCCAGAAAGTTGATACAGGCCGAGACGAAAAGAGCGCCATGACCCAAGAGATGCTCGAAATGCTCGGAGACAAGATCGAAGGCATAGACCAGCACATGATGCGAACTGGTCCCGTCGGCCGCACCCGACGTCTCCGCTTGGGCTCTGTCAGCAGCGAGGCCAAAACCCCAGGCTTCAGTCGACATCGTCCGAACATTCCAACCGAGAAGCCACGCCAACGACAACTGAAGAAAACGGAGAAAGAGCCAAACTTGCATGGAGAAATGCCGTTCCGGCGGGCCGTCTCTGAGCTGCCGAACCTCCCGAGATACGGTGCAAAGCGGAGGACAAAGTCTTCCAGCGGCGGTTTCAGTAAGAAAATCGATTTGACGTTTGACCCATCCCCGTATATCAAAACAACACTTTTTCCTCAAAACGGATCTTTGTTCCGGTTGAAAATCACTCGAGCAGAGTCGACTACTGAAAAGCAGGATACAAGTACAAACACGTGAGTTTGTCCTCGGAGAACGAAGACCATTTTGAAAGTGTTCAGAAGCGACAAGGCGGTGAACAGAATAAGCGAGGACACCATCAGCACTCTGAGATCTTCTCTCCGGAAACTAAGAGAGTCACGGCGTCGGGTTCGAAGTCGAACGTCGCCACGCAGCAAGAACCGTGGAAACAACCTCCCAAAAGTAAGGCTCTTCCAATGTTTATACCCTCAAACGATTCGAAACATCCTTTTCTACTTTGAGCAAGTAATATTGATGGAAAAAAATCTTTAAAAAAAAATCCTAAATCTTTTTTCTATATATTTTTTCTCACCTTCTGAACTTTCAGACAAAGAAATCGTCGTCTAAACACCGTCGGAGGCATAGCCCGGCATCGCCAAAAGCTTTTTCGAAAGAGAAGCAAACTTGAGTAAATATGAAGGATTTCAATGTATACGTGTAATAATTTTAAAAAATCTTATAGTTTTCATCCTTTACTATATTTATTTGAACTATCTCCACGTGTAATAATTTATTACATCTCTTTTTCAACATAAACGTAAAATAAAGTTTCGAATTGAATGACCAAATATGAAAGCTGCTCTTTTTTCTCTTTCACGTTGGAAAGAACGTTGGCAGGTTGCCCGTCGCCGACGGTTGCCACGGCGACGCAAGGCAGATTCTGCAGCCTGGTCCCTTCTAGAAGGCCTTGATCTCAATTTCAAACCTTATTAGAAAGGAAGCGACTTTTGGATGATCACCTCAGCTTCGGCTAGTACCTGAACAGCCCTCAAGGCCAATGATATCCACCGTGGTTCGTACTTTTCGCTCAGCAATTTCAAAAGCTCCCTTTTTTGCAGAGATCATCGCTCAGTTTCCAAATCCTCGTACATTGTCACAAAACATACTCAGTTATTTTTTTCACTGCGATCGTTCTACTTTATTTTTATAAAGGTTTTTTTCTTTCAATTTTGAAAACCACAATAAATTGTTTAGGAGCTGTCCTTCCCTATCAAAACTATGTACGAGTGATGGAATTTTTCATTTTACTCCCATTTGCGCCCATCGAAGCCCTACGCCTCTCTTGGGGTGAATTTGAAACGATTTCTACCATATGAAATAATTGAAGGAACTCGGGGCAACGTACTCGAAAGTTTCACTTTTGTCTTTTTCTCGCTGCTTCTGGCGGTTCCCATACTTGTCATCTGCATCTACCTTTCATTCTTCCAGAACTATGGTCTGTTGAAGACGCCATATTCAGGAAAAAAGAAACTGTTGCAGTTCTTCTGCTGGAAGCGATATTGACTTACATCCAAGGCATCGCAGTCATAGTCGAAGTTCTTCTCTCGCTCGCTCTTTGTGTTTCTTTTTCTGGGTTTCTCTTCTATTACGCTCCTACAATTTCAATTTCTGTTCAGGTCATCAACTGCTCCCAGCACGGTCTCTTCATAACGCCGCTTCGCCTTCAAGAAACTTTCCAATTCAGGAAATATTTGATAAAAGCACTTTATTTTAAAAACCTGTAGGAGAAACGATTGAGAGCAAAATAACCGATACGAATGGAACTTTTACAGGGAGAAAACTAAACCTTCTCCGATTTTTATCTGCTTTTCACATTGTGAAGACGCTGAAAAACATCTTCATTTTTACAAAAGCGGGATACTCACCATGACGGAAACGTAGCCGCGGATATGCGGGAACATTTCTCTCAAGACGTTCACCATCCGCTCCTTGGAGCTGTTGCTCCGCAGAACTATCACATGCTCCGGCATGTACTCCCTCATGTACAACCTTCTCGCGTTCGCTCCCAATCCCACCTTCTGAAATTCGCTCTTGTCACTCTTCCTTCTTTTCAAAATACCTTTCGATATTCGAACTTCCAAGAATTTGAGAGAAACTTACAACGGTTTTCCTGCAGCAAGGCTCCTCTTCCGTTTCCAGGGGTCTTTCCCGAACTTGCGGATATTCTTGTAGGCTATCTTTTTCTTCAAATTCGTCACTTTCAGAGGATGATTTTGAGCTCGAGGACGTTGATAGAGAAGTGTAGAAAAGAGTTGAAGGAGGGTTTCTTGAACCATAGTGCTGAAAAATATCTGAAGGTTATTAAATAATCGAAGCTATCAAAAAGTCTGATTTTTTTTCTCGTTCATATCTTTTTTTTGAGTATGGCAGCTTTTTTGTACATGAAAAAAATAACAGAGACACACTTTTAATAGAAAGTACCTGACTAGTTTTGTGAAGAGTCCCTGGATAGAAAAGTTCTGGCGATGAAGGGCACGGAAAAGACTGAACTTTCTGGGAAACTTCGCGCAGAGCGCTCGTCGCAGAATCAGAAGCGGCAGAAGACGTCAAAGCGACGCAAGGCTCTGGGATGGAGCTAGTGCTGATGACCGGAGTGAAGGCGGATCTGGAGGAGGCGAAAGAAGACGTCGAAAAGGCTTCTCGTGTGTCAAACGACTTCGCAACTGGTCTTTTCCTTCGTGGATCAAGCGAAAAGATCATTTTCCGTGACTTGGCGCGAATTTCCTCGAACAGACTTTCCGGTGAGAAGTCCAGCAGCTCCAAGCTCTCTTCTGCGTCCAATTCTTCCCCGATTTCAGTTATCAAGTAAATGTCATAGCCTTCAGGCAGTATTAGGGACATATTAATATTCCTGAAAATCGGAAGATTTTTGAGAATAAATAAGTCTACTTCATAATAACTACAAAAAAAATATCGAAACATCAAGTTCCCTATCGCCCGTGGCACCCGTAAATCCCATACCGCGCCAGTTTGTCCCGTTTTTTTTTACCGCGAAAAAGACCGTATACCAATCAAATTCGACCAAAATCCGCTTCAAGTCTCATGTTTTTTGTAGGCTTGTTATTCAGCTTTCTCAGAACTATTTTTTCGTCGAAAGTTGATCGGACTGTCGCTAAAAAGGGAAAACAACAGTTTGGAACAAAAATGTAAGCTTTGTATTGAAAGAGATTGAAAAACAGTTTGATCTTCGGATCGATGTGCACTCGTTAATGAAAAAACCCTTGAAACAATTTAATATCGATACAGCAAAAAAGTAGAGAAAAGACGAAGAAAAGGCTGAGCGACGGGAGAAATGTCAGAAGTGAAAAGTCGGAAAAGGTCAGGCGGCAGGTCTTTCCCTACTATGAGAAGACAAACTAATTTTTCTTCTTTTTTTTTCAAGCCTTCACTCAGGTAAACTTGCCGGCAAAAACAGCGACAGAATTGTAAAGCTCATTTCTGTTTTATCAATCTAAGTCAATTATCCCAAAAAAAAAAAAATAAGGATCAAAGTTTCATTAGATCAGAACTTGAACTTGGGTCGATCTATTCCAGAAACCTACTATTTCTGAATACTTTATGAGATCAATAAAACAAAATGAACCAAATGAAGAGAGAAACTCTGAATAGGAGGAAACAGAACTGATCAAACTCTTATGTACACGAGCCGCTCACGTGATTCCATGGTTGTAATGCACTTTTTTGTTGTAATGCCTAGCCTGGGCATTACAACAGAAAAAAGACGGCGGCGCACCAATTTTTCATTGCAAATCTTTCTGTTCTATCAGTAGGACATCTCGATAAAAAAAAATCAGCTTTTTTTTTCAAAAGTCCATTCTGAGAATGATGTTTTTTACCAACAGAATAAAAAAGGTAAAATTGAGTTTTGAAAAGAGAGAATGAAGTTATTCAATCTGATTCATCGTCTGTGACATAAAGAAAGTATAACTGCAGTTGATGTCAAAGTTTGTTCCTCCTATTGAACAGGAAGACATCCTGTGGGAACATATTGCGCTAACTTTCTCATGCGAAGCTTTCATATTCAAAGAAACAGAGAGGCATTGGCTGAAACGATCTGGAGATGATAAATGAGGGCAAAAAGGCGAAGGCAGCCCCAATTGCTTCAAAGCGGCTTTTCGAAGCTTCTCAAAATAAAATAGACATAAGATAGTGAGATTTTCCTTTTTTGCATCTTTTAAAAGTTGTCTTTTAAAAGCCGATGTTAAGAGTAATTATACAATGAGAAGTCGTTTTTATCGGCTTTGATAAGCAACAGCTTCTTATCTGAGGTACATGGTTTCTGAAAAATGGAAGAAACGAACGACAAAATGTGAAACGGTAGACCGAAAGAGAAAACTGCCACCGGCTTTTTGAAACCCAACAAATGACCAAGGTCACATGCGAAAAATTTCCTACAGTAATTTTTCGTTTTCATAACAGCAGCTCTGAACCGTGGCGTCTTAAAGGCATAGGGGCAGTAAAAAACGGTGTTTCAGTTCAAAGCAGTATTTTGTAGAGTTTTTCATTGTGAATCGAACGGTGAACTTGGAAACGTACAGAAGTTCCTAGTTTTGAAGAAAAAATAATTCAAAGTCGGAGAGAGAAAAGTTTGAGTTCCCGCAAAAAGGGCGCTTTGCAGTAAAGTTGCTCTATGGACAACAGGTTTCGCCATCTTCCGGATTTTTCGCTTTTTTTCTTCGTTTCTTTCAATTTTCAATTTTTTTCTGTTGTCACCTAAGTTCTTTTTCGTCACAAAAAGCTTTCTATTCATGTATAAATTGCAAACTTTGATCGCAAAAATGCTTTTTCTGGTGAAAAAAATGATGATTTTACACAGGTTTCGATTGAGATTGCGATATTTTTGTGTTTTGTTTATTATCATTGTGTGTTTTTCTGTTTTTCTTAATCAATTTTTTTCAGAGAAGAAACCCCTAATTTTTAAGCAGAAATCCGGTTATTTCTCACAAAATGCGAGTCTAACGAGACGTCCGCAACGTCGCGTGCACGGCTACTGTAAACAGTTGTCTGCATACCGATCCAAAGCTTTTTTCAAAATTAAAGGCGGGAAAGTAAAATCGCGTTTTTCTTCTAAAGTTGTCACACCTGTAATTGTTTTGAATACACCATTCGATTCGCAAAGAAAAACTATATAAGATACTGCTTTCACCTGAAACCCCATTTTTTACTGCCCCTATGCCTTTAAGGCGCACCCTAATAATTCTCTGCCGCATGTCATTTTCCGACTGCGTGAAAATTGAAAAAGACGAAAAATCATGCCGCAGAGAAAATATCAGGCCATGGGGCGCGCCAGTTCAGGCCAATGTTTTTTTAACGCCGCCTCGTAACATTGAAAAATTAGAAGTCGTAACTGTAGATAATACTAGTTTATTCATCCACAATGTGAATAGAGTAAATAAAGTTAGGAACCGGTTCAAAGTCACCCTCACCTGGTCAGTAAATTTACCGGATAGAGTATACAATAGATGGTCACAGTTGATAAATTACACGTATAGGTCTGTTGTCATTTAATTATGAGATTTTTATAGAAGCCGTCTAGGAATGCTGACAAATTAATCATTGTCGGGGATGTTGTCCAGAAGGGATTTGAAAATTTTGGAGGGACAGATACGTTAAATGTGGAGCAGATTTTTTTCCAGATTGGAATCAGTTTTGAGAAGAAAAAATCACATAAAGGACCAACCTGAATTAACTGAAGAGGATGCCGACCCGAATCAGAGATTCTGAAAAATATGAAAAAGTTTTTATTATAAAAAAATTGCCTTACCGGTTCAAGATTTTTATAGCCTTTTTAGCGCTGCCATTCCTCTTTGGAATCGAAAATACTCGAGATTCAATCCTTGCACGTCAACCAAAACTCCAGAAAGTTTCTCGACTCGCTCAGCAACAAAAAACTGTTTTCCGAAGTTCCCTTTCATCTCCTGCCATCTCAAATCCTTCATACGTGTTTCCCATCCTATAGGGGTAAATTTTTTTCGAGAAGGTTGATCAAAACCGGATCTAACTAGTAATTTTTTTCAACAAAAAAATTGAAAAACTTATTCAAAAATAATAATAATAATCTTATTATAGCATTATTTGTTCATTGCGTAAAACTTTGTGGATAACTATCCCAATACTGTTTCAATGCACTCATAACACCGTTTCAAATCAAATTTTTGAACATTCCATTGATTTCCACTGAATTCAATATGGCCGTCAGAGGGGGAAAAAGATATAGTCAATGTTTCCCGACTTGAAAGGCGAGGGAGGCGGAGCAGGGGGCGGAACGCGTAGCGTGTGCGTACGCGGTTCTTGGCACGAGCTCAATTTAACCGCCATCGACTCTTTGGAAATCCTGTTTTTCGCTCTTTTCACTCCTTTTTCAATTATTTATTGATTATGTTCATGAGTTCATCAAAAAATAGTAGAAAACATTGAAAAAGAGCGGTTACCGAGCTTTTTAAATAGTCGGCGACAATTGAATTGAACTCGTGCCAAGAACCGCGAACGCACACGTTACGCGTCCCGCCCCTTGCCCCGCCTCTTTCGCCTTTCAAGTCGGGAAACATTGACTATACTAAATTTTGGAGATTCGAAGATAATTTTAAATTTTGCGCAAATTACTTTGAACACCGCATTTTTTCAGTCGGTATCACTATACGATATAGTGATACCAACTAAAAGAAAAAAAAAGTTTTATATAGTTTTATGTGTTCTAAAGACCCGAAAAATCAAAAAAAAATTTCGTTTTCAAGCGTTTTTGTTCTCGTTTTGAGCAGAAATTCGAATTCTACGCCATTAATTTTGTCATGACTGCGCGCGAAATAGAAAAAGAAAAATAAAAATGCACTCAGCAAAAAAAAAACGTTCGCAGCAAGTGGGCGTGGCTTTGCAGTCCCTAACTATATGGAGAATTAGGGCAAAAAAATCGGAAATTGGATAATGTGGGATATGCGCAGTTCTTATTGTTTACGAGGTTGTTTTTTCAATCAAAAAAAAAACTGGAAGCAAACCGGAGAAGATTCTGGACGACGAAAACACACTTTTCGAGCATTTTGGGTGAAATATGATTGCACACTTGGCACTCAGCGTCGTTTGAGTCTGACTAATAATCATCCGCAGTCCGTCAAGTTTTTGAAAATTGGTGTTTTTTATCCAAGTTTATATGATTCAAGTTAAGATTTGAAGGCTCGATAATCTTCTTTTTTTCTTACAGACAAGTTTTGTGTTTTTAACTTGTGAGGGGCGTTTAAAGGCGCGGGGCGGAGTCTACATCATTATCTGAATTTTTCTGGTGAACGAGATGAAAAAGATCAGAAATGAATGCAATATTAACATAGACGCCGTTCATCTGTCTAATTTTCTCATCTATGTTCGGCACGTTGCTCATTATCTCATACGGCTTCCGCTCTCCTTTCTTTCAATTTAGATTTCCATTGCAGTTATCGTACTAACAAATTTTCTTTCATTCTCAACGACCTTTTTTGAAAGTCAATCATCAATCTCGGAAGGCTTTTGAGCACAGCAAAGACCAGCGTTTATCTCTGAAGGAAAACAGCTTTCCTCGGAACTCACCAAAGAGTTTCTGGGAAAGACTACCGTACCCTTGCAAAAATATGTCCCGTAGATTCAACTTACTCAGTGCTCGAGTACTTTCTCCCGAGTATTCCAAGAATGTGCCAAAAATTGTGTGACTTGCAGTTTTTCTGTGGGATTAACAAGCAGTTATCCCAACGAAACGCGTGACGAAAAGTCGCAGACTCGGAGGTGAGTCGTATGGCTTCTGACAAAGATCTGGGGGATAATTTCAATTCATAATATAGTTCTAGAAATCAAATGTGAATCATTTACAGTAAATCATA